ACTGAACAGGATTTTTTTTTTCTTTTGTCAGTACCTGGATTTGAACTCAGCACCTCATGGTTGGTAGGCAGGTGCTCTATCATTTGAGCTGAGTCCTCAGCCTGAACAATACACTTTTGAATGATCTATGGGTCATTGAAGAAGCAAGAGAGTAATTAAAAAAAAAAGTTCCTAGAAACAAAAATGGAAGCACTTTTATTGTGGATACAATAAAAGTAGTTTTAAGAAGGAAGTTTATAGCTGAGTGTGTTCAGTAAAAAAATCAAAGATCTCAAATAACCTAATGATACACCTCAAGCTCTTACGAAAACAAGAATGAGCCAATCACAAAATTAGTAGAAAGTTAGAAATAATAAAAATAAAAGTAGAAACCAATAAAATGGAAATGAAAAGAACAAGCAAAGGATCAATAAGCAGAGGCTCGCTTCTTTGAAGATTCACAGACCCTTAACCATACTAACCAAAAGAAAGACATAAATCAATAAAAAATAGGGGCAAAAAGGTGCCACTGAAATCCAGAGGAGCATTAGGAAATATTTTGAAAATTTATACTCTAACAAATTAGGAAGTGTGTGAGAAATGGATAAATTTTTAGAAACATGTGACCTACCAAAATTTAACCAGGGAGATACAAATAACCTACAGGTGAATAATAAGTGATAAGATTAAAACAGTAATATAAAACCTCCCTAACCCCAGTCCCACCCCACCCACCCCCCCCCAAAAAAAGAAAAAAACCTCTCCATCAAAGAGAAGCCCAGGACTAGAGGGGTCCATTGCTGAATGACACTAACCCTTTAAGGAAGAATTAACACCAGTGCTCTCTTAACTATTCCACAAAATACAAAGGGAAGCAGCACTCCCATATTAATTCTACAAAGCCACTATTACCCCGATACCAAAACCCAGCAAGGACGCGACAAGAAAAAAGAAAATTATAGACCAGTTTCCTTGATGAACTTACATGCAAAAATATTTGCAAACTGGATTTAGCAACACATTAAAAAGATCATACATCATGATCAAGCTGGCTTTATTCCAAGAATGTAAGGTTGGTTCAACATAGGCAAATAAAAAGCCTTTGACAAAATCCAACATCCTTTTATGATAAAGCCCTGAAGGAAGTAGGAATACAAGGAATGTTTCTCAATATTACATATCCACACTCTCTCCACTCTTATTCAATAGAATGTGTGAATTCTTAGCCAAAGAAATAAGGCAAAAGAAAGAAATGAAAAGGATTCCAACAGGAAAGAAAGAAGTCAAACTTTCGCTGTTTGCAGATGGAGACTTTCTGAAAATACCCATTTTAGCAAAGGTGTAGGATACAAAATCAACATTCAAAAAAAAAGTTTTTCTTTGCATTAGCAACAAACTCACTGAGAAAGAAGTCAGGAAAACAATCCCACTTACTATAGACTAGAAGAAAAAAAAGGCTCAGGCATAAAATTAATTAACCAAAGACATTAATAGACCTCTATAATGAAAACTATAAAGCACTGAACAAAGAAAAGCACTAGAGAATGGAAAGACCTCCTGTGTTCGTGGATCACTAGAATGTTTATATTACCAAAAGCAATATACAAAATTGGTGCAGCACTATCAGAATTCCAGTACATTCTTCACAGAAATAGGAAAATAATTCTAAAATTCATATGAAAGCACAAATAGCCAAAGACCTCCAAAAACCAAAGCAATCCTGAGCAAAAAGCAATGTTGGAGATATTGCAGTAGCTGGCTTTAAACTATCCAGTGGAGCCATACAAACAAAGATAGCATGGTATAGGCACCAAAACAGACATGTCAACCAAGGGGGGAGAAATTCAATCAACAAACACAAATTTCATTAATGACATGTAAAAATAAAGGTAAAATCAAATTAAAATGCTAATATAGTTTTACACATGTTGATTGATTATGAAATGCAAAACAGATGCTACCATGAATATGATACTTGGCCTTGAAAAACAGACTTGTTAGTGGGAAATGTTAGAAGACAGATTATGGGAAGGCAAGTGGGAAATCATGTCCCAGATGTGGGTGGATGTGTTTCATGAAACAGCCAATGACTGAAAGTCACTGGAGCAGTCTGAGGTGTGTGCAGATGAGTGTTTGATGACTTCCCAGGTGGCTGGGCTCCGCTGGGTGTGGTTTTCTGCATTCACTTAGTGTTTCTGGCAAACAGAATTTTACTTACCTCCTTCTCTACCATATGAATGTCCTTGGAACATGTCTCCAGATAAGCAATACAGTAGACCTCATGACTCTCTTGGTATCATCTTGAGGCCATTCAGAACAAATAGAGAATAATCAGCATTGCGATTCTCTAAAACACAACATTAGTGCAAACTGTATAAATTCTAACATGGCAAAGAGGAACGATTTTGAAATTTACAATAAACTATACAAAAGTCTAGATAAAAATAGTTACACAGGAAGAACACCGGAGTAGCAAGGAATGACAATCCAACTATTCAATAGAAAACTCCTATGTTTAAACAATTAAAACTGGAGTTGGTATTTTGGTTTGTCATGCTTTTTATTCACTTTTGATAAAATGGTTTTTCTGCTTTGTAAGTATGTTTCATAGGAGATGTCAAGAGTTTCTCATTCTCATTACCTGTAAAAATCTCAGTCTTCTGGTTTTGAGTTTTAGAGAAGCCTCTAGTGATCATGTGGCTGCAGTTTAAAATACACCATTGTATTAAAGTAAAAAGATAGAAATTGTATTGATTTTAGTTAATGATCTAATAGCTAAAAAGCCAAAGGTTTATTTACGTTAAGACATTGTGATCCTTAAAAGTGCTTGGACACTGAAAATGTCTGTTTAATTGAAATGGCATCCACTTTGAGGGAAAGAATGTGTGGGTTTCCTCTTAGTCCTTCCTTGTCTAAACATGTCCCCTGCCCAGTTGCTGGGCACTTGATCCACTCAGTGTTCAGAGGCCAGAGGTGTACCTTAGCTCTCTAACCACCACAGAGCCTTGTTCTTACAACTGAGAGCTTCTAGAACACTTAAGAGTAGAATCTGCTACATTACTCTGGCAGAGGCAGCACTGGGTTTGAACTCAGGGCCTCGCACTTGCTAGGGCCATGCACTCTACCACTTGAGCCACACTCCTGCCTCATTTTCTTTCTGTAGTACAAATAATTTGTTTATTTGTGTTTCATCTACCATTGAACTGTCTCTGGCATTTTAAGGCTCATTGAGGTGAGGCATCCAAGAAAGGACAGTACCCTCCATTCATTATTTTATTTAAGGTCTTGTCCTGCTCAGGTTACTTCTCCCCTGCCCCAGAGTTTTATTCTCTGTTAGAGCATTAAAATTTCCAAAATGAGCATGGAGGCACACACTTGTAGTCCCAGCCCTCAGTGGAGGCCGGGGGCAAGATGATCATAACTTTGAGGACAGTCTGAGCTATGTGGTGAGACCCTGTCTCAAAACAAAGGCAAGACTTGACGGTGCACAGCCCCAGCTACTTCACAGGCAAGGTTAGAGGGTCATGGTCCAAGACTGATCTTGAGCAAACTGGGAGACCCTTGCTGAAAAACAAGTAAAGCAAAAGGGAAGGGGGTGTAGCTCAAGCCCTGAGTTCAAACTATATATAGTACCATGCTCCCTCTGCCCAGAAAACCTCCCAGGAAGTAAAGATGGAAAATGCAACCAAGGAACCAGAAAAAAAAGTCCTTGGCTTTCATATGGTTTTTAATTTTGGTGGATTAAATTTTCAGTGTACCAACTTGCCAGTTGAAAATACAGTAATGAAGGTTGGGATTTAGAAAAACTTAAGTATATGAAATTTACCAGAAAACTTCGGCACATGGCTACAGACTTCCCACACGACAGACCACAAGTGATGATTTTGTAAGGTTGAAAAAGCGGTAACACTCAGCACAACATCTTGAAAATGTTCTCCATAAAGAAAGTAAGTCTTCTAAATTCAGAAGCACCGGCGATAGCTCTTTCCAGCAGTCTGCTTTGTGCTATGTGCAGATGGTGAGGTGGACAGTATACCCGTGTAAATTGTGTATTGGGGAGTCTCAATTTTGGCTTCGATAAATAGGGGTTCTTACCTTGTTATTTCAAGAACATAGTAAGAAACCTTCCCTGTCAACATAGATGAAATAATATTTCCTACAAAGGCCTTATTCTCCAGAAATACTTAACGTTTGGACTGGAAGCGTGACTCAAGCAGTAGAATGCCTGCTTTGCAAGCATGAAGCTCTGAGTTCAAACCCCAGTCCCTCCAAAAAAAAAATCATCCTTTAATTCATTGCAATTTCTTCGAACAAGTATAACAAGGCTTATTCTCTGTTTCTGCACTTCTTTATTTAAATTTTTGTTTCCCCATCAGATTCCATCTATCTCCAGCACACCTTCACAAAAATCACTACTGTTACATTATTTATACTTCTGTAAGACACCTTCTGTGCAGAGGAAGTGGCACAGATGATTGCTTGTTCAGTGATATCTTTTCTTTTTAGTGTACTGATGCCCCAGTACTTGTTAGATACTCCGACCTGTATATAAATTTGGTCCCTATAATGTGCACAAAATGGGCCACACAGTAGTGGAGGTAGCTAGATACTCATACTCCTTTTTCATAGTCCACCTATAAAATGTAAAACATGGTGATTTATCCAAATCAACTTACCTTTGTTTGTAAAATACTGAGGAAAAGGAATGAGGTCTCAGGCAATGCGGAGGTTGGGAGGAGGTGTTTGACGACATGGGAGCGCGAAGCTTGACCACAGCTTAGCAATATCCTAACTGTAAATGGCATTTGCACACCTATTTCTGTGGTGGATGGTAGGAAGGGATTTTCAGTAATCTCAATTAAATTTAAAGCCGGTGCTTTAAGTTTCATCTCCTTTGTTCAGTAACCTTAATGTCACAGTAAAGAAATGTGTGTTTTGCTCCCAGGTACATGAGAAAGATGTTATTGATTGCAGAATTATCTACATTTGTGCTCCTTTTCTTTTATTCTTCTTTCAGCCATAATGAAAGGAAAGTGACCTGCAAACACCCAGTCACTGGCCAGCCGTCTCAGGACAATTGCATTTTTGTAGTGAATGAACAGTAAGTAGAGTGTCGTGGAATGTGTGTTCACAAGGGGTTACCATCACTGCTGTAAAACCGTGTTCTATTCTCTACAATTTAGCTGTTTCCCTTTCTGCATATTTGCAGGCAAGTAGGACAGAATGTCCGCTGTTTGCTACATGTGGTTTAGAAACATGACCTAAATTTTATTTTTCATGGGGAATGTAATTTTAGAAGCTGTTTTTATGAGAGTTGAGGTCCAGGAAGTAAGCTCTAGAGCCCAAGATGCAAGGTTAAAGAAACTGTAAACCTGATCAGGTAGTTAAATTCACATAATTTGAGCTCAGTTTTCTCATACTTAAATTTAGGGTTGTGGCAATTACCATTTCACCAAGTTTTTGTAAGCCTCAAATGAAACAGGTGTTTACATGCTGTAAACCTTTCCAGCAGCATTAGTGAGTGGTATAGTGGTTCATCTTGGCCTTTTTCTTATTTTAAATGTTAACTGTTGAACCCGGGGCAGTGCCCTCATAATTCATTTTTCATTTTCCAGCTGGATGACCAAGTAGAATGTCTGCATTTGTGCCTTTTAATATAAATGTGCTTATTGAACTCAGAGCTTCCTGCTTGCTAGTTAGGTGCTCCACTGCTTGAGCTGCACGTCCTACCATGCTACGAACTTACACTGGACGTAGGAGATTTGATGGTTATAGTTAAAGTAATTGTAAATGCTTTGTATTCCACATCTCACTCCACAGTAACTTAGCGTCCACCCCATCTGGAAAAGCCGGACACCTGCATTGGTAACTCTAGAAAAGCAGTTTACACACAAAGCAGGTTCCAGTGTTTGACATGCTATATTTTCAGGACTGTTGCAACCATGACATCTGAAGAAAAGAAGGAACGACCGATAAGCATGGTAAATGAAGCTTCTAACTACAGCATGACTTCAGATTATGCGGTTCATCCAATGAGCCCTGTAGGCAGAGTGAGTGGTTTTACTTACTGTTAATTATGCATGGGTTCCTATTACTGTCACGCATAACACACTTAAAATTGAAATTATAGAATTATCGTTATGTTTTTATTGCTACATGAATTTAATGATATTGGAAGTAATTGATGGATGGAGCGATAGCTTGATATATAAAGCAATAAGATTTTGATTTAATGGCTAACATTTCCTTTAAATGCTGGGTTCAGATTTTGAGTGATTTCACAAGTGTAATGGATATTTATGTGAGAGAATTGGCACTTTATTGACTCAACTGAGGGAAAAGTAATAGCCTAGAAATCACACTGTGATTATAAGAATGCACAAGTTTGGAAACAGTCTTTTACAGTAACAAAACAACTTAATAATAACTTAGGTTCAAGGAAATGGATAACAGAGTTATAGTAGTATTGCAAATGGCTGTTAAGTATGTAAAGTTTTTAGGATATTATAAGGAAATAAATTTTCAAGCAATATAAGTAGTTTCTAATTCTTACTATCAACAACACTAGAAATTCAGTTGGATTACTGAGAGTAATGCTTCATTAATATTTTTTAATTAAAGTTTAGAGAAATGATAAATAGATTGAGGACCACTAAGTCATTCTCTAGAAATCAAATTGGACACATGCTTCTTAATTCACACCAAAAACTTTTCAGATGGATGGTTTGTTGAAATGTTTAAGCAATACTATAATTGCACTAGAAAAAGCAAGGGAAAGATTTTTTTAAAGAATAAACTTAGAATGCGGGTAGACCTTCAAAATATGGCATAAAACCCAGAAGTAATCATATAAAAAATAAGAAATCCAGCCATCTATAATTACCATGCATGTAGAATATCTATAATTCATATAGAAACTAAACAATAATTCTTTATAATTAAAGGATTGCTATGAGTCCATAAGAAAGAGCCTTATGACCCAGTTTAAAAACGGGCAAATTATATAAAATTAGTTACCAAAAAAGATAGTGGAATTTATCCTTAAGTACAGCCTCATTCATAATAAGAAAAATGTTAATCATAACCAGAGAAGACACTGGTGTTTTTACCTTAAGATTTGCAGGCCTTCACAGCACAGCAGATGGGCATCGTCTCTGCAGTGAGCTTCAGGGGCTAGTGGAAGAGAAGAGTGGGACTGTCTGCACAGTCATTTGAGAAAATAAGCTTTTCCGTAGCCGTGAGAAGCCAGTGTACGTGGACAGGCACCTTGGTGCTGGCAGCACACAGGGCTGCGGGTGGGATTGGCTGGGTGCTCGGTCCCAGGGTTGAGGCACACTGCTCCTTGTCTTTTTGTGCCGTTGGAGCTTTCTTCCAGTGATGTCGCATTGGCTCTCAAAATTCTATTACGTAAAACAGCTTGTTTTAAGGTCTGTTGGTTGCCACTACCATTCTTCCAAAATAAATGTTCCTGCTGAGTACAGTGGTGGTGTGAAAGTGTGCGTGTCCTTGTGTGTGCCTTCTGGGACACACACCGTCTGTCTGGAGTTGTCCAGAGAGAAGACAGCGCTGCGCATTGGCGGTCCTCCCTGCCTAACTGACTTGGTGTCTGCTTGTATTTCATACTGACCTCCTCTCTGACATACCACTGTCAGCTTCCTTTAGCTGAAACACTACCAGAAGCAGATACAAAACAAAATTCCTATCACTTGCTTTATGGTTAAACGTTCCTTAGTGGTTTTTTATTCACAGTCCTATTCAGGTAGGATGAAATAGTGCGACATACTGTGTCTTTTTAACATTTGTGCTGGTTTTAAAGGGAAGATTGTAAAATCTATGATCTGTCCTGCTCTTTTCTGTTTAGACTTCACGGGCTTCAAAAAAAGTTCATAATTTTGGAAAGAGGTCAAATTCCATTAAAAGGAACCCCAATGCTCCTGTGGTCAGACGAGGCTGGCTTTATAAACAGGTATTTCCTTTCTTCCATTTGGTGTGAAGTAAAAGGATAGAATCAGAAGGAATATTTGAGGCCAAATGTTGCTAAGACAATTGTATAAAATTATATAAATTGGAAAGGGAAGTGCAATCCCCCATATTCTGTGACTTCCCCTACAGAAAGGGTGTGGGCGTTACTTAGGGCTAAGGCTGTTAATATGTCTGTTATAGGTTTTCCTAAATTTTAAATTAAATATATGTTGTATGTTAGGAATAGCATGCTAAAATCTGGGCAGAAGTATTTCTTAAATGTCAAAATGGAGCTGAAACCATGGGTATTGCTCATTTTCTGTTTATGTATTCTTTGACCCTTCTTTATAGAGAACTCTGATGTTTTGATTTTTCTGCGTTTTTTTTCAGATTTTTGCTTCTGTATTTTCAGCCTATTCTCTCTTCCTCTTCACGTTTTTATGCTGTGTTTTGCCTTTTTTTTTTTTTTTTTTTTTTTCTCGTTTGACTGTTCACTCAAACGGGGTTTGTTCTCAGACACCTGGATGCTATCTGGGATGTTTGATAACTGAGCTTTTTTTGCAAACTGTAGACTAGTTCAAGAATTAGTAAACATGCATAGACATTACTCCCTTAGACTTTGGCATCGTGTTTCTTGTTTTTGAGCTGTTGTTTTCTTTCCAGTTTGCAGCTGGGTTTCAGATAAGTGACTGCCAGATAACCAAAATGATATAAGCAACATTCAGAGCTTTTGTCAATTTGCTCTTATTTTACATGTATATAGACAATACAAAGCAAGTTAAATGTTACTTCCTGGAACCAGTTTGTTATACTAGTTAGCTATGCCAGTTCTCTTGATCTGGTCATTAACAGGTTGTATCCAGGTACTGAAACGTCACATTGTACTCATAAAAATGCACACTTGCTGTGCTGATGAAAATTAAAATCCTTTAAAAATGAGTTCATTGATGGTGCTAATCTGTTCTCTTGAATATTGTTAACTGCCTTCAGCCGACCTAATTTTCTTTCATTAAAACTCATGATAAACTTACTGTGAAGCATTAGAGATTGTTTGTCTGAAAGTTGGTTGGCAGACTAAATGGATGCATTGGAAGAGAATTTCATATCATACCAGAAAACCAATTTTGCCAATTTCTCACTGAGTTGGTTTAATATGTAATGTGGATAAAAAATTTTTATTTAATGATCATTTTTAGTGGCTCAAGAGGTAAAGCACCTGCCTAGCAAGCATGAAGCCCTGAGTTGAAACCCCAGTGCCACCAAAAAAAAAGGATCATTTTTATATTTTAACTGTTTGACATTTAAATTTGTATAAGCTAAAAGATTTCTCACATTTTCTCACATTTAGTTCCTAAAAGAACTTCCATATTCATTTTTAACCAGTCTTTTAATAATTATGCAAATGTTCAGATAGTTCATTGCAGTATTGAACCTGATGGAGGATAATGGGACTCCTTGCTTGAAATAATTTTTGTTCTTATTTCTTGCTCTCTTGGTTAATGTAGTATGACAAAAGTGTTGCCAAGTAACCTAAGGGTTTGTTTTGTAGTATATATGTGATTTAAGATGTTTGGAGGGTCCCTTATCTGTACGAAAGAAAGAATATACTTAAGGGACTAAAATGCCACGTAGCATTTTAACCCTCCCCCTCCTTTGTCTCTTCCATGGGGTAGCTGTTAATTGAAAAGACAAATCTTTCACTGCTGGGATTTTTACCCATATTCATTTCTGTTGTTCTGAAGTCACCGTCAGGGCTGGTGGAGTAGCTCAAGTGGTAGACCACCTGCCTAGCAAGCATAAGGTCCTGAGTTCAAACCCTGGTATCTCCAGAAATAAGTAAATAAATCACCATCAGATGATTGTCACAACTAGAAATAAATTAAGAAACATTAATTCATTTAATCTCAGCTGGCCTCTTTGGCATCTTCTGGGTGTCTATCTAATTTAATCTTGCATCTTTGCTTTACTGCATGTGGGAAGGTAATTTTTATTCAAATAGTAATTTTGCTTGAGCCTGGTATTTTGTGAACTAAATTACTTAGAAATAGCTGTCAAATAGGCAGTCTTTTCTGCAAGGTGAGCAAAACCCAATCTGTAGACAAGAGAAGAAAAGATGGCTATGCAATGTGTTTATATGTTAAGGTTTTCTTACTCACAGTCATTTCAAATCATCTTACCTTGAGAATAATTTCAGTTCACATGTTTTGCTTCTTGTTTGCTTAGCATATTTATTAGTCTGGTTGCCAGAGTCAGCACACAACTGCCGGGTGACTTTGTCCTCACCCTAGCAGACCTGTGTGTTGAGAAGAGTGAATTTCAAATAGCTGATAAATAGAAAACCAAACTAAATTGCTTCAGCATCTTCCTTTTACGTGACAGTGTTACTCTTCAGAGACCAGTCCACCAGGGGATATCTTCCTGTAAGTCCCTCTAAGTTTTCTCTGATCAGCACATGAGAATTGGCCGTACTTACAGGGTACCATCTAATGCATGGAAGTACATGTAGACGTTATGTGACGCTCAGGGCAGACGAGGCATATGCTTCCTCAGCACCTCTCATTTCTTTGTGGTAAGAACACTCAGCGTCCTTCCTCCAGCGTATTGTGAAGTGCACAGTGCACCATTGTTGGCACTCGCCAGAATGCATTTCTCCTCTCTAACTGAAGCTTACTACCCTGAACTTGAACTCCATTAGTTACATGCGTATCAGAGATGAATATTACTGAACAGCACACTCATGTTCCAAAGGCATTTGGAGAGAAATCCTCAGCAGTGAGATTCAGTGGTGTGAAATAAAAACCTTCCTTCAAGCCTGTCCATTTCCACAGGACAGCACTGGTATGAAACTGTGGAAGAAGCGCTGGTTCGTGCTTTCTGACCTCTGCCTCTTCTACTACAGAGGTAAGCCACCCCTGAACCCTTGGTGCACCTTTTTATAACGGCTGCTTCACGCTTGCAAAGTAGGCGCTGCGCTCTACCCCTTGAACCATGCCTCCGGGCCATTTTACTCTGGTGATTTTGGAGGTGGGATCTCACCAAGCTGACCTCAAACGGCAGTCCTCCCAGTCTCAGCCTCCCAAGCAGCTGGGATTACAGGTGAGAGCCACTGGTGCCTGGAAAAATTAGGAATTTTCATTTTTGGCTGTACCAGAGTTTGAACTCAGGGCTTTGTGCTTTGCAAGGCAGGCACTCTACTGTTGTGGGAAGTTGCTAGCTGAGACAGGGGACACTGAAGGAGTTTAGCAGAAAGCAATGTTTTATTGTGCCGGCACAGACCCAGCAGACTTGTGTTCAAATTTAAAAACAAGGTTTAACCCATATATGGTTCTATGCAATTCTATAGGCTACTACAGCCTAGTGCTAAGTGCCCTTCTACCCCTAGTGCTATGTGACCTTCTTCACCTTTGAATTCTTTAGGTTTTATCTCTCTGCTATGCCATCCTTTCCCCTGCTACTTTATCAGAACTGTTTTCTTCTGATCCTCCTCCCTGCTATACTACCACTTGAGCCACACCTCCAGCCTTGAGTACTTCTTAAAAGAAAAAATATTGCCACTTTAGCTGTTCTATTATCAGCAAATAGTCTGAAGGAAATGCGTTCTTCACTGACTTAAGAGTCTGAGTTATTGGGGTTTGAGCGCGTCAAACATATGAGTGTGAATTTTCGCCAAGTTCCTATAACCTGATTTGTTCGTGTGGAGGGCATGTGTATCTTCACACTGTTACACTGTTCTTGCATTCAGTGCCCAGCAGATAAAATCCTTGGCATGCTGAGGTTCTTTTCACATGCTGGTTTTGTCAGATCCAGCTGTCCCACTAACACTAGAGCTAGGATTGTGTGCAAATGGTTGTGGACCTATCAGGGACCACTCTCATGTGTTGACAAATAGAAAACATGAGTTACAAAGAAATAAGTTTACTTTAAACCTTAAAAATCCAAACAAGAACCGTCTCACTTAAACATGGAGAAAGTTGTGTAAGAGATACATATATAGCACTGTTAATGTTGGCAGTGAAGAAACACAGGAATTATTTTAGGTGTGCACTGAGAGACTTCATATTCTGTATGGTTATGAGAAATTTCTTTTGTCTTTCTCAGTAAAGTATTGATTACATTTTTTTTTAAGAGACATGGTGTCACTATTGTTCCCCAGGCTGGGCTCCAGGGATCCTCCTGCCTCAGCCTCCTGAGACCTGGGACACAGACTCATTGCCACAATGCCCAGCTGACTAACTCAGTTCTAAATAAAAGTCCAGAGAAGTCTGTTCGAATGTGTCGTGGGTCTCTTAGCTACTACAGGGTTGGTTCTTGCCAGAGAAAGGAGACCAGGACACCCCACTCCAGAGAAATCTGCTACAGCTGGAATATGATCTGTGAATCTGGCCCATCTCTCCTTCCCTACTTTGAAATCTGAGGGGAAACTATCACTGAAGTTCTAGATTGTCAGGGGGCTGGGAGAATTAGATTATTGGGGGAAAGAAAAGAATTAGGCTGTCAGGCTGGTAAGGTGGCTCAAGTGGTATGCCTAGCAGGTGCTAGCTTACCCCCCAGAACTGCAAAACAACCAAAAAAGAGATTATCAGTCCATGCCTAATGAGTTGTGACTGTTCTTTAGAGGTACAAGATATCACAAAGGTTTTTAAGACCAATTAGTGATTTTTAAATTTAAATTTACTTTTCAGTTTTGCAAAGAATATGTGGCAAAATTCTGTGGTCATCCAACAAAGCCTCTAACTCGCATTAATGCTTAGACCTTGGAGTCAGCGTAATCTTCTTCACCATCTCACTCCTTAGCAGAGTGTGGCCCAGTGCTGCCGGCTCACAAGCAAGCGAGCCCTGGAGCTGCACTTGGCCACAGAGATGGCAGTCAACATCACTGTGGGGTTCACTTCAGCTGAGTACCAGGCTTGCTCTGCAGTTCTCCTTAAAGGCTTCCCACTCTTTAGGGCTTGTCATTTCCAGTTTCCTCCCCTTTTCAGTCTGTTTGTAGACAATTTGAGTTTAAAGAAAGAACAGGAAAATGCTTACTTTTTGTAATTGTTTTAATTCTTTTTTGTTTTGAGGTCTGATAAAATCATTTATTTGTTAACTCTTAAAGATTCTTATTTTTGACTGGACTCAGACTTAGAGCAGAAGCTCTCAGAGAAGACAGCCTTCTCTTCACAATCTGTTCCTTGCACTTTTCTGTGGCTTTCTTTGCCCTTTTAGCCAAAAGTTTAGCATTCTCTGCAATCGCTTCCTTATTTTTCTTAGCACATTCTTTCTTCAGAGCAATATGCTGGCCTTTGTGTTACAGGACATGTGGAATAGCAAGATGCTGAATCTTGGGTGCTTTGCTCCTGGGTTTCTTACCTTCTTTGGTCAGGGGCTTTCTAACAATGAATTGGCAGACAGTATCTTCTTTGGAGAGACTAAAAAATTTGCGGATTCTGCTGACTCTTTGGATCGGAGGAGGAGGAGGCCTAGTAGGCTCTGTCAGTCCAGGAATGTCTTCAGATCTCCTTGTTTCGCAATGACCGAGCTGAGAACACTCAGGTTGGCATCCACAATGCAACCCTGAGCAGATTTGCGCTCTCGATCCAATCCTCCCTGATGTGTAACAGGAATGCCCCTTCCTAGTAGCAGGAGAACTTGGCCATGGGTCAGGGCACCCTGCCTCATGGGAAACCTTGTTTGATGTTCCCACCACTGATTCAGACCACACAGCCCTCCATTCTTCACCCAGCCATCCACTTCTCATAGAAAGCATGACGTTTGCACTCATCATCCACTTCAGTGAGTTTCTGACAGCCAGTGGCCGGGGAGGACAGATTTGGCTTCATCTTGGTGCCTAATTGTTTTAATTCTTAATATGAAAGTCTATCAGTGTTAGTTGTTTGCAATGAAAATAACACCAAATTTCTGACAACATTGCTGTCACTGCCCATCACTTCTATTGCAATCTACAAAGTCTGTCCTGTGTTTGATGAGTCTGGGTCTGAGTTCTTACTGCTGTTAATGACCTCCACCTTATATTTGTGTTTTTACTAATGGTAGTTGTCTGCCAGGTAGGGGAAATAGGAAAAAAGAAGAAAGAAATACAGGAAGGAAGGAAACATTTCATTCACTCTGCTCTTCAAGTGGCGAGGAAGTATATGAAAGTCTTAACAACAAGAAATACCAGGTTTTGAATAAAAGCTATTGGGTGAGCGTAGCAGCTGGCATCTGTCAGAGTGTTAGCATGTGCTAGGCACTGTGAAAAGCACACGACATACCTGATCCATCTCAGTGCCTCCTCACCACCTCCTGCTAAGGTGGGAAATCACTGTGCTCATTTACCCAAGACAGAACTGACACACAGGCGGGCAAATAGCTTGCTTGGATCTCCACCATTTTGCACCCAGGCTCTAGCTGCAGGGCTGACCCGCTGAGCACAATAGTCCTGACCATTTCTGCTGTGTTTCTCACAGTTTCTGATATACAAAGTGTGCTATCAGAATTTCCACATTTTACAGACAGAAATGGAAACTAAAACGACTTGCTACTTTTTTATCTGAGAGGTTAACAACCCATACTGCATGGGAACCCACATTCCTTCTGTTCTTTGCCCCATCACTAGATGATGGTGAGCCCATGGCTACACAGCACTTACGTTATGCTGTGGTTAGTCATTCCACTGACAGAACTTTCATTTGACAAACTTACTGAACGAGGCCTGCTTCGTTCCAGGTGTTGTGAAAACAGTAGTGTGAAAAGCTCGCATGAAACTTCCATTGTGGAGGGATCAGAACATGGTAGGTAAGCTGAAATGTTGAAGACCATGTAGGTGCTTTTAGGAAAGTAAGGTCACAGTATGAAAGATGGACAGCGAAGGTCTCTGGATAAGTACTCCGAGCAGGTGTCTTAGATAGTTACTACACAGATGATGAGGTGATGAACTAAGGGAGTGAGTCGTCTGAGGCACTAGATACCGTTTTAGAGAGTAGCATGCAGAGATGCAGAAAATAAGCCCGAAGGAGGCTGAAAGAATGTCACGGCAGAAGTGCTCAGTTGGGTGGAGTGAGCCCACACTGCACCAGGAAGGGCTCGGGAATGCAGGGTGTGTGTGCACATGACTTACGTGTGAAGTGGGAGTGTGCTTGGTGTAATTCTAAAGCTGCACATGTGGTATACACAATTGGAATGAAAGTTAAGTCTGGAGACCCAGCAGGAGGCAAGTTTAGAAGGTGGATCACAAAGGTCATTTATATGCCACCCCAGTAAATTTGAACTCAGTCTTAGATGATAATAATAGTAAGATCAGATAATTTTAGAAAAATTACTAACACTTGAACTAGAAGCCAAGAGACCAGGTAACAGAGTATCATAGTATTCCAGATTAGAAATGATAATTAGTATTAATACATTTACCTAGCTCTAATTATATATATTGTCTTGTCTTGTTCTCAAGTGTCTTTAAAGTTAAAATAGACGATTGGGTATGGCTCAAGTAGTAGAGTAAGCAAAAGTAAGCAGAAGACCCTGAGTTCAAAACCCAGTACCACACGAGAAAGAATACCATTTAAACAAACAAATACAGTTAAAGTAAGAACACGAGATCTAAAATATCACTTGAATCCAGTAAAATGTTGAGATTCTTATGACTCCTGTCCAGGTGTGTTCTCAGGGAAACAAACTCTGTGCTGGGTTTATTGGGGAGTCTTTGGAACACTAGCTGTCGCACAGAAGGGAAGGAAGGAAAATGGGACTGAGACAATAGATACCATGTGGTTTGTAAAAGGCCCCAGCCGGCCCCAGCCATCCCCAGGGCAAGCCCGCTCATCCTGCAGCAATTCTCAGCTCTGCTCCTTGCTCGTGTCTGACCGGCTCCAGGCGGTAGAGAATAAGGCATGTAGGTGCCTAGGATAGGTTTGATGTGGAGCCAAACAGAAGAAGGTCGAGATCAGGAGCATTTGAGAATCTAGGAAAGGACTCTTAGGATGGTCAGTTGACAGAAGAGAACGATTTGATATGTAATGGTAATTATATTTAATCTTGCATAATGGCAGGATTTTTTAAACATTTACCAATGTGCTGAGTTCTTTGTGTGATTAACTCTTTTAACCCACATAACAATCTTTTGCATTAAGTCCTGTTATCCCCAGTTTTAAAAATGATGAAACTGATGCACTGAGCATCAATAATTTGCCCAAGGTGGGCACAGCATATCACACCTATAATCCTAGCTACTTGGGAGGCTGAGATAGGGAAGATTTTGGTTTGAGGCCAGCCGTGGCAAAAAATTCACAAGACCCCATCTCAACCAATAAAAGCTGGGCGTGGTGGCACACCTGTCTTCCCAGTTACTTGGGAGGTGAGATCAGGAGAAGCATAGTCCAGGTTGGCCTGTGCATAACTCAAGGCCCTATTGGAAAAAATAACTGAAGAAAGAAGGGGTGGGGTATGGCTCAAGTCATAGGGCCTGCCGCCTAGCAAGCACAAAGCCTTGAGTTCAAACCTTGGTCCAACCAAAAATAAAGGTCTTGCCCAGGATCCCAGAGGTGGTTAGTGTCCAGCTGACCAGCAGTCCCAGGTCACCAAGGATGTCACTCGGTATGTTCAGAAGCAGCTTAGGAAGAGATGATGTCACTGTGGGATGATGAGGAAGGGATGTGATAAAAATGATTTTCACTGAAGATGACTTCAGGAGTTGCTTCTGATTGTTCCCTAAATATAAACAGAATTGGGTTTTAAAAAAAGAAAGAAAGAAACAGAATTGGGCTCAGATTTATGGTGTGCATCACTTTCAAATTGTCATTTTCCATAATTGATGGCTGCTTTCCAGCATTTCTTTTTTACCTTTTTTTAAAGCTTAGTCTGCACTCTTGTTCATTCACAGTATAAAAACAAATTTTTGTTCCATTTTATGAGAAGAACTATAGAAATAACCTCCACTTAATGTACCTTTTTTCCCTTTTTGGAAGTTTTGCCATGTGCTGTAGAAATGAGGAAGAAATAAATATGATTTCTTGTTAACCGTGTGATAACTTTTTAAACATCAGCAGGTGTAATAAAAGTGATGATGTCACGGTTTCCCCACTGGTGAGTTTGTCAGCCCAGGGCATGGCTTTATATTATCCTGTCTGATGGGTCTGTAGCAAATGTACATTTCATATTTCTCGAGCACCAGTGACAGTGAATAGCGTGGACCCAGCTGTGTCAAGATTTGTGTTTGTCCTTTTCCTAGATATGTTGTGTGAGCTTGCCTTGCAGAGTTCTAATTTATTCCCATGGCTTTATTATGTATCACAATAGCTGGTAAAATAAACCTCAAAGTTAAGGGGTTTGTTTTGTTTTGAGACAGGGTCTCACTATGTAATCCAGAGTGGCCTCAAACTCAGAGTCCTCCTACCTCTGCCTCCCAAGAGCTGGGATTATAGTTGTGTGCCACCATGCCAGGCCAAAGTTACATACTGTTTAAAGCTAAAATTTTTACAGCATAGCTTAAAGTGCGTATCCACGTGTGTATTTGTTTAACAGATATTTTTGGGTATCTACCGTTTCCATTCTAATTATCTTACAGCTTAGAACGTAGAGAGGAGAGAAAGAAATATACATAACTAAAGCATGTAGCATGTGAGCGAGAATGGGAATAGGAAGTGGTGAAGTCCCCAGAGAAGAATAAGAGGACTGGAGTGGTTTGGGGTGGAAAGCACTTTAAGTCACAGAGACCACCGAACACCTCATCAATGAGACATTCAAACAGTGGCTAAAGATGTGACCAGTGAGCCTCATCCTTGACTGGAATTACAGCGGCTGGATATTTAAGTCCTGCCCTAAATGTGGATGGATTTGTTTCTTAAGGTTTCTTTGTCATCACTTAACATGCTTATATATATTTTCAGTAACTCATATGAAAGAGTTTTGTCAAACATAGCACACCAACAACAAATGTATGATGTATTTATATGTAAATGGGCTTTCTTTCATTTGTGAGACCAATTTTGTGTTTGCTTAGAACAGAGACACTTTTTGAAAGTAAAGAAATCTCATCCAGGCATGGTGGTGCAGGCCTGTAATCCCAGCACTCAGGAGTCTGAGACAGGAGGATTGTAAGTTCAAGGCCAGCCTAGGTTACAAAGACCCTATGTCAGAATCCACCCCCCACAAAAAAAATCCTTGTGCTCTTGGATATTATTATTTAAAATCTTATAAAGACCTGTTACAACTTAAATATAGTTCATTTATGTGCAAGAGCCTTTTGATTTGGCCCAGGTGACTTCTGAGGCAATGCACTGTTTGATGAGAACATTAAAATTCTAACCAGTGATTGAATGATCTCCTAGATGAGAAGGAGGAGGGGATCCTGGGGAGCATCCTGCTGCCGAGTTTTCAGATAGCCGTGCTTAGCTCAGAGGACCACATCAACCGCAAGTACGCCTTTAAGGTAAGGAAGCAACCTGTGTTTTATTCTGTATTGAAACTTGCACCCGCACCTGGTAAAAAGCAGAGATGGACCCAAGGATGACTGGAAAAGGGCATTTCAGTTACACCAATGTAACTGTCTTTGTGTGGAGATTGTCCCCTCCACGTCCCCTCTGGAAGCACATGCTAAGGTGGTTAGGGCTCAGGTGTTCTCAGTTCTATGGCTTCCAGAGGTTTTGGGTACAGGAAGCAGGTCACAGTTCCAGTCCCAGGTGATACAGTTTTGTGCATCTTGGTGATTAGTGTGTGTTCTGTGAAGGTTACTGTGTGTTTGAGTTTTTCATGATAAATTTTTGGAAGACATATAAAAAACTGAGTTTTCCAGCACAGTGGGAGTACATTTGTGGATGTGTGGGATAATTAAAAGCTGTTCTTAGGTGTAAGTACATTAATGACCATCAGACACTTTGCCCAGGTTCCTGAAATTAAAGCCAGGCCCCCTGTGGTGACTCACCTTACCCTCTCCTCTGGGCAGTGCTGGTCTGTGGCTCACTCTCAAGAAAGAGGCCACTTTGATGCTAAGTTGGCAAATTTTTTTTTTTAAAAACCATGCTACATTCTTGGCTTTATAATTATGGTTGAGGTCACATTATTTTGCTTCCCTCCTTTTTTTCCTGGCCACTTATTTTTGTATGAACTATAAAGGGCTTATTGTAGAAATTTTATTTTAAGGAAAAGGGGCCAAATAAGGATAGTATAAATCATTATTTTAAAATGAAATGTTTAATTCACCTTTAAACTCCTATCCACTTTTAAAGAGTAACTGAGGATTGCAACTAACTTGAAACAGGAGTGCTTATTAACTGTGGAGACAAGAGGAGGAAGGATTTAGGGATGGATTGGGGGTGGAGTGGTGGATCGCCTCATGGAGAAGGAAAAATCTGAGGCAGACATCTGAGAACAAAAGGGAAGTAGCTTCAGATAGGAGTAAAGCTTATCAAAATACACTGTCAGCATGGGTACACTAGAGAAACAATGAGATATTTTGATGTGTAATGACAAATTTTAGTAGTGATAAGTTAAAATAATAACTTTATGCTGGGCACCAGTGGCTCACACATATAATTCTAGCTATTCAGGAGGCAGAGATCAGGAGGATCGTGGTTCAAAGCCAGCCTGGGCAAATAGTTTGTAATGCCCTCTCTCAAAAAAACCCATCACTAAAAAGGACTGATGGAGTGGCTCAAGGTGTAGGCCCTGAGTTCAAACTCCAGTACAGCAAAAAATAAACTAAACAATAAAGTATACACATAGCTCCATGTAATGTTAACATTTATTTTAAATTTTTTGTTTGCTTACAGATTAATTGGCTATTGAGTTTGTTCTATTTGTTGGACATTTTGCCTGGATTCTTAGACTTTTTAAATATAGTAGAAAGAGCATTACAGGTGACTGCACATGTACATTAGTGCATTTTCTCTATAATGACTTGTCTTATTTTACCTGTAACAAGAGTAGTAATTGCTGTTCCAAATTCTCTCCTCTGGTGTCCCTGAGTCCGGGAGTGGCTTTATCACTGTTGTTGACGTTGCTGCTACTGCTTATCAGAATGGTAAGTGGAACTCCGTGGACAGTGACTGAGCACAAGCACTACACAGCCCACGGGCACCTCATTGTCACCCGCAAACACTTCTACTGGGGCATTGCTCGTGTCTGAGTTGGGGCTGGCACTGGATCCTCGTGCCTCCAGCACAGTGTTCCTTCCACTGATCGCAGATGGGCGGTGGTCTTTGTCCCTTTTGCCCAGCCCCACACTCGGTGGTGGCTGTGTCCTATAGCATGTTTGAGCTGCTTCTTCTGACAGCTCCCATGCAGTGACTGCTCACCTAGTCAGGAGAAGTCTGTTGGTTATGTCGGCATTTTCACAACTATGGTTCTTGACTTTATCCTGAAAAGAAGCTAATTTGCCCTGGAGATGATAGGAGTCAAGTTTATGGCCCCACGCTTCTTCCTCTTGCCTTCTGTACCCAGCAGGCTGGTGTTTGCTACTCTCCCCTTTACCTCGCTTTAGCCTGTTTCTTTGTCCTTGTCTTTGAATGTCGGCTAGGAAATAGCACCAGCATCTTAAGTGGAAATCAAGACTCCCTCCTCTGCCCGCAGCACTCTGCCTGTCTCACACAGCTCCTCCTGCTCCCATATTTGCCACGTCTGAACAGGGCTTAAGATGAGTGCTCGGTGCCCACGCCATGGGTAGCAGTCCAGTCCCACACCAGCATCTTCTCTGCTTTTCTCCTTCTTTTTCTCTGATAAAGAGACACATTGAGGACCGGCAGAGTGGCTCATGTGTTAGAGCGCCTGCCTAGAAAGCGTGAGGCTCTGAGTTCGAACCCCAGTGTCACCAGAAAGAAAAGAAAAACACACTGTACCAGGTGTGTGGTGCATGGCTGCAGTCCCAGCACTTGGGAGGCTGAGGCCCTGTCTCAATAAAACAAACAAACAAACAAAAAGCAGGTCAAGCCAACATAAAGACCTACATCCAATTGCATAGTCATTCTTCCTCTTAAACCCTGAAACTTGAAGATGGCGTTTACAACCATTTATAATTCGTTGATGTTCATATATGGGTGTCAGTAAGATGGTACCTTTTGAAGATTAGAGAATTTGGGTGTTTCACTTGGTATTGCCAGTGCATTACTCTGGGGCGCTGAAGAGGATGAGGGCCACCAGGGATGGACCAGATGCCACCAGTGCTTCATGTCCTGCACCGTGCCTAAGCACTTGTGACTTCAGGGTATACACAGCTAAATGAGAAATTAGAAGAAAATCATTAATATCATACCATTTCTGATATCACTGTTTATGTATTTCAAAATCACTTCTATATCTTCTAGAAAGGCACGTCTCCTCCTTTAAATTTGGTACCAGTGACTAGGTAAGGACCCGCTTACCTTCTCTCCTCTTCCTCTAGAGCCCGTGTTCTCACGATGGAAATGATGGTGTCGTTTTCACTCAGGCAGCTCATCCAAACATGCGGACTTATTACTTCTGCACTGACACAGGGCAGGAGATGGAGCTGTGGATGAGAGCCATGCTGGACGCCGCCCTGGTGCACACGGAGCCCGTGAAAAGGTACCAGCATCCCTCCATGCTCACCTCGCGATGCGTCATGTCACTGTCCTAGTCTGCGTCATTTTAACAGTCATATGAAACCATTTTCCCTCTGAAGGCAAGCATTCATCCATGTTCTGTACTCAATTAATACACCTTTTGCTTAAGATACCACCTGTGGGGATTTTTGTTTGGGGGTTTGTTTTGTTTTGTTTTGAGTATTGGTTTTGAACTCAGGGCCTCGCCCTTGCAAGGTAGGCGCTCTACCACCTGAGCCACACCACCAGCCCCGTGTTCTTACTCCACCGTTCCTTGTCACTCATGCTCACCCGTCAGTGTACCGAGGTGAATCTAGAATCCTAACGTTCAAACTGAATGTTCTTTCTTCTTACAGAATTACCTTTAATTTTCGGTAAGTACATTTTTCATTGTTACCTTAGAATTACAAAGATTTTTCTCCTTCCCGGCAGTATTTTTTAAAACACCCTAAATGTTAGAAGAGAGTTTATTTTTATGAAGTTAATTTAATTGTGTTTTTATATTATGCTTCCATTCTGTGAGTTTAATAAATTACAGTAAGAAATTGTGAGATTTTCATTTCAACATTTTCTGCTTCATTCTGATTGTTTTATGATGAATATCTTCAGAAAATAGCTTGTCAACCACTTAGATTATTTCTAAATATATCTCTTTCTTGATGAATTGTACCGTCCTTCTTTTAAAACTCCAGTACTTAGACTTCTTGATAATGTAGATAGGTATTGTAAAAGCAGGTCTAAGAACGATTTTTCTCTGCCCTGATTGAAAACATGAATCATGCTAATAATCTTCAACTATATTTAGAACTATTCACCAGCATGGTGGTGCACACCTGTAATCCCAGCACTCTTAGGTGGGCGAATGGTGAGTTCAAGGCCCACCTGGGCTCCATAGCAAAAGCCTGTCTCAAAAAAAAAAAAAAGAGAGAGAGAGAAGGAAGGGAGGGAGGAACTAGTCAGACGAAATCTGTTTCTCAAACAACATAAATAGAAGTTGAATAGATATACATTTTGTGTGTGTGTGTGTGTGTGTGTGTGTGTGTGTATTCTTGTAATATGAAAAAATATTGGTGAGTCAATTAAATTTTGTTCCCAGTCAGTGATAATAAGGTACACATCTTACCTAGGGAGTATTCTAACATGCACGTTTGATCTTTCTTGTCCCCTTTCTTTTGGGGAGTGGAGGGGCAGTACTGAGGTTTGAGCTCAGGGCTCTGCACTTGCAAAGCAGGTGCTCTACTGCTTGAGCCACGCCTCCTGTCCATTCTGCTCTGGTTGTTTTAGAGATGGCGTCTCGTGACCTGTTTACACCGGGTGACCTCGAACCTCAGTCCTGCCAATCTCAGCCTCCCAAGTAGCTAGGATTATAGGGATAACCCAGCATGCCCAGCCCCTCTTTTTGTGTGTGTGTGTGTGTGTGTGTGTGAATGTGTATCTGTGTTCTTTCTCTGCTAGGAATGCAGCCTAGGGTCTCACACATGCTAGGCAAACACTTCATGAGCTATAGCCTCAGCCATATATTTTTATGTTCAAGTGACGTATAATAATTATACATATCCATGGAGAACTGTGTGCCATTTTAGTATGTGTCCAGTGTATAATGGTCAGATTAGGGTGCTTGGCACTCCTAGCACTTACCATTTTTTTGTGCTGAGAATACTGAAAATCCCCTCCACCAGTTATTTTGAAATATTCCATTAACTGTTTTCCACTGTAGTTGTCTTGTGTGGGGAGTGGATTATGAGAAGCCTATGAAAATTTGACATAAGCACAGCTGTGCCCAATAATTGGCAGGCTGAGTTTGGCACGGCCCCAGCGGCAGAAGAGTGGAGGATGCAGTGCAGCTGCTTTTCCTAAGTTGTTTATGTTCAGAGAAGTAGGAATGCAGGTTTTTGTTACAATGTCACACCTGTCCCTGAGAACTGTTGCTCCACCTCCTTGTTTACCACTGGATATAAAAGACTTGCTGAAGGAGGATGAGGTTTTTTGATGGGTTTTGATTGGCTGCCTGCAGGCTGCTTGTGAGGCTGCTGCTGAATGACGCAGCTGGCTGCTGTGTGTCTCCACCAGAGTAGCTTTCAGCCCTGAGAACTTTATACGTGGGCTTTAGAAAAGCTAAGCTAAAGAGAACGTGGGACAGTGCAAGTCTGGGGCAAAGGCTTTAAGAGAGATTATGCTAAAGAAAAGCTAAGAGAAAACATGGGACAGAGTGAGTCTAAGGAAAGAGACTTTCAAGAACAGAAAAGAAGACTTTAGAAGCAAAGCTTTAAGGAGTAAAGATAGAGAAAAGAAGCAAAGTAAATGAAGAGAATTACAGAGAAAAGAAGCAACGAGGCTGTTGTGCATCTCCATCCAACTGCCCAGCCTACCTGGCCCCAACTTTCTGCATGTCTGTCCTCTATTGTTTGTCCTTTCTGCATCTCCCATTGCTCCCAGTTACACCAGTTAGGTTTGGTAGTAACAGGAGTGAGAAAAAGCTCGCTGCAGTCATGCTGTGCTGCAGAGCAGTACAGTTTCTCCTCCCGTCCACCTACATCCCTCAGCCCATCATCCATCCTATCCTTTCCGCACACCCTGCCCGGGCCCTCAAACCCCCATTCTGTTCTATTTGGGATTCCAAATACAAGTCTTTCTGTGCCCGCCTTAACTCATTTATCATAAAGATCTGCAGTTCCATCCATGTTGCTACACGTGACAGAATTGCAGAACATTTCATGGCTGGATAATATTCTAGTGTGTGCACATTCCTCATTTTCTGTATCCATCCATCCACTGGTAGACACCCAGGCTGATTCCACGTCTTGGTTACTGGGAACAATAGTTTCTTGTGCTACACTAAACTTGCAAATGCAGACATCTTTTAACTTACTGATCTCATTTTCTTTGAAGTATATTCCTAGTAGTGAGATTGCTGGATCAAAACTATTTCCAGTTTTTTGAGGAACCTTCTTATTGTTTTCCGTAGTGGCTGCACTAACATTCAGTATGTTTTCTGTAATAGTTTAGTGTCATCTTTTGAAATTAGATCCCAAGTTTTGCATTATTTGTTATCTCAGCATAGTTTTCTCAGTCAGTCTTGTTCTGTTTTGAGAAGTCATGTATATCTTTTTTGATATTGAAAAAGGAGTAAAAGGTGTTACAGTTCTAATTTAAAACAGTAGCTTGAGGTAGACTAGAGTTTTAAGAAATGTTGAAATGTTTAATATTCAGTGTTAAACAACTATGCCTGCAGAATTTAGCAAAGGTAAGTGTGCTTTAGCACAAGCTCCCTGTGAAGCTCCAGTGCCTCTGTGACCTGTCCAGTGTCTTGTCCTGTTTCCCATCAGGAAGCTGTGGTTTCTATCTCACTTAAACATATTCGTAGTCTATAACTTTGCTATAAGAAAAACAGGCACATCTCACTTTTTCCCAGTGACCCTATTCCAGACTACCAACAGACACCTGCCTGCCTTCTTTTGCACTTGAATGTAGGTGTGTGTGTGTGGATGTGTGGATTCCCGGCACATCATACAGCTTGCATCTGATGGGACTGTTGCCCTGTTTGAGATGTGGAAGCCTGGCCAAATACTGAGAGGCTCAGTCTTGTCAGAGCTTGCATGTGACTGGCTCAGGAAGCATGAGAAGGACATAGATATAGCACCTGGACTAGTGAGTAACGACTGTCAAGTGGCCCAACACACTGTTGACCAGCACTTCTGCTGGGCGCATGGACAGGGCATGCCACTTTCTAGTCCAAGACTGAGTGATCAGACAGAACAGCAGTGGGGTCGGGGCTCTGCCTCCACTGGCTACCTCACCTGGTAGGTAGCACAGTAGCCCTCCGGCATTGTTGCTATTGTGCCCATTTACCAGAGTGGAAACTGAAGCACTGTAAGACTCCAGTTTGCCTTTTAATGAGCTGACACCATGGCTGGGAGCCATAGTGGTCTTGCATGTGGATTTTGTGGCTCACCTGTAGAGGAGAGATACATTTGCTTCATTCCCAGCTTCCCAGTACAGGACACACCTTGCCCTGTAGTTTTGAATTACCTCCCTCCTCCTTTCCATGTGTGCGTGCTGCTCTTGTGCGCGGATGTTCACACCACGGCTTTGAGGATTGGGGCAGACTTCTCCTGACTCTTTCTGGGTTTGTTTGTGTGTTTGTGTAAAGTCAAATCTTCCTACATTGACTGTCAGAGATAATACATGCCTACTTCATCTGATTTACTCTGACTTTCTTCTCTGATTTCAGAGTGGACAAGATTACATCTGAAAGTGCACCAACGAAAGAAACCAACAACATTCCCAACCACAGAGTGCTAATTAAGCCAGAAGTCCAGAACAACCAGAAAAACAAGGAAATAAGCAAAATTGAAGACAAAAAGGCCTTAGAGGCTGAAAAATACGGATTTCAGAAGGATGGTCAAGACAGGCCTTTAACAAAAATTAATAGTGTAAAGTTGAATTCTCTGCCATCTGAATATGATAGTGGGCCGGCGTGCCCAGCCCAGACAGCACACTACAGACCAGTCAACGGGAACAGCTCAGAGAACAAAGCAGGCAGCGTCGGCCTCGCTGATGTCAGAGGCGGGAGTCACTCAAACACAGGGCCCTTCCACGTGGAGGCAGAGCGGGTCATTCAGAGAACGAATTCCATGCAGCAGCTGGAGCAGTGGATTAAAATCCAGAAGGGGCGGGGTCATGAAGAGGAAACCAGGGGGTGAGTGTCTTGTTAGAATCCCAGGTCTCCATGCTGTGGTGGGGGAGAATGGTTTCAGTTGCATCTTAGGTGCTATTGTTTCATCACCATGTCTGTTGCTCAGGGGAGTCAGACATAAGTATTTTTTCCTCCATCTCTCAGTGTGCTGTCACCAGCTTTGCTTTTGATCAAGTAAACTTATTCATCTATGCATCCATTCATTGTGTGACTTTTTCTTCATAGATTTATTTGTCTACTATATGCTAGTCATGGGGCTAGCAAGTAGACTAGGAAAATACTTACTCCAGGCTCTCGCAAAGATAATTGTCTAGTAGTGGAGACAGTTGAATAAGCAAGTGCAGGATAGTGTGCCAGATGGAATGGAAGAACACATTTCTGTGTCAACCAGTGCAATCTCAAAGATTCAGAGTTCATTAAATTCTTTCTGGAGGAAGAAAAATACAAACTGAGAGATAAAGAATGACCTGTATGGTGGTGCACATCTGTAATCTGAGCATTCTGCAAGCTGAGGCACAAGGACCATAAGTTCAAGGCCAGCCTGTCTCAAAACAAAACCAAAAGGTCACTGTGGAGCTGAGGGCATAGCTCAGTAGGAGAGCATGTGCCAAACATGTCTGGCGTCCCAGGTTCAATCCTCAGCACTGCAAGAAAAGGGAAGGAAAGGTCCTTGTGGCATCACATCTGGAGAATGAAGCAGAGAAAGGTCAGAAGCTACATGAGAGGGTGGAAGGAGAGGATGGGCTGTGTCCACGATGTCGCTGACAGGACTGGTCAGCTGCTTCTGTGTGCTGGATCAGAGCCTAGCCTCGCTCAGTCTCAGTGTTGGGGGACGTCAGGAAAGACACCTGCCTTCTCCCTGGGCAGCAAGGGTGTGTGGTGTCTCTCACCACAGAGAGAAGATTCGGGAAGAGAATAACGTGTGGCTAGACAAGTTAAGTTCAGGGTTCCTGTGAGCCTGTCTACAAAGAGGGATCTGAACTTTAGAATATCACCAATATGACAAAAGTAGGCTGGGCACCAGTGATTCACACCTGTCATCCTAGCTCCTTGGGAGGCTGAGATTGGCAGGATTGTGGTTCGAGGACGGCCTGGGCAAATAGTTTGAGAGTCCTCATCTCCAACACAACCAGAGCTAAATGGATTGGAGGCCCAAGTGGTAGAGCGCCTGCTTTTCAAGCGTGAAGCCCTGAGTCCAAACCCCAGCCCAATAAATAAATAAAGTCAAAAGTGAGCAAGAAAGTAGATGAATTCATTCTGCGGAGAGGAAAAAAACCTAAAGAGCTGGGTTCAGTAAGGCACACCTATAATCCCAGCATTCATGAGACCGAGACAGGAAGCTGAAGAGGTTGAGGGCAACTCAGGCTATACAGCAAGACTGTCTCAATTTAACAATAAATAAATAAAGGAAAGAAAGAACTAAAAGCATTTAAGGAGTTAGAGGAAGGGGACCTTACAAAGAATACCAAAAACATAGACCAAAGGAAATGGAGAAAAAGTAACTGTCTCTGGAAGAGAAAATTATACGTTTTAAAAAATCAGTTTTAAGGCTGGGGCTATAGCTCGTGGCAGAGTGGTTGCCTAGCTCGTGGCATATATAAAGACAGACAGTTGTGGTAAGTTTTGAATAGTAGAAAACAATGACTTTATAATGATTATTTTTGGGGGGGTGGGTGGTACTGTGGTTTGAACCTGAGCCTTACCCCTAGCCCTTCAATGATGTTTTCAATTGAATGAAGACTGATTTATTTAATAGTGAGATTCATGGGTGTAGGAATGCTCTTCCATTGTGCTCAGTTAAGTGGCTGACACCTGCAGTGGTCAGGGGTGTGCCTTTCAGGACTGCGTGCATTTGGCTCCACGCACTGCCACCTCAGAACTCTGCTCCAGCTCCCGTCATGTGGGGCTCACCTGCTTTCTTCCCCACCCTTGGCCTGCTCCCCCGAGGGAGAGCTGTGAGACGTTTGCTGGGCCAGACGTGTGCATGGAGAGATCTGTCATATGTCATGGCTTTGACAGTTACAGCAATGTGTCAGAAATTTGAAAATTGCGAAGAGAAACTTAAAACCTGAGTGTAGTGTTCACTACAAAAAAAGTGTGCACAGTAATGCATATGATAATTAGCTTGACTTAGCAATTCCACAAGTGATCATGCTGTGCACCATCAGTAACTTCTATTTGTCAATTCTTAAAAAAGAAAAAAAGGAATGGGAATAAATCCTCCAATTTCTCAGTAATCAGGAAATTGTGTATTTTAGAAATGGGGTACTATTTTTCACTTACCAGATTGGCTAAAATCATCATAAGGAAGTGAGTTAATTAATACATGAATAAAGAAACAAAGTTGAATTACTTAAGTGTTGAAGAGAAAATGACAAAATGAACAGACTCATCCATTACTAACAGGAAACTATAAATTAATAATGAAAGTTTGATTAGCCAGAAAACAGGTGGTGGCTCTGAGGCAGGAAATGACAGGTATGTGGGTACACTTGGTATACCCATCACCTCCACACAACAACAATTCAGATCTCTTCCAGTCAACTTAAATCTCACCTCAAAAAAAAATCACTTCTCCTTTTTTTTTTCTTTTATTATTCATATGTGCATACAAGGCTTGGTTCATTTCTCCCCCCTGCCCCCGCCCCCTCCCTTACCACCCACTCCGCCCCCTCCTTCTCCCCCCCCTCAATACCCAGCAGAAACTATTTTGCCCTTATCTCTAATTTTGTTGTAGAGAGAGTATAAGCAGTAATAGGAAGGAACAAGGGTTTTTGCTGGTTGAGATAAGGATAGCTATACAGGGCATTGACTCACATTGATTTCCTGTGCGTGGGTGTTACCTTCTAGGTTAATACTTTTTGATCTAACCTTTTCTCTAGTACCTGTTCGCCTTTTCCTATTGGCCTCAGTTGCTTTAAGGTATCTGCTTTAGTTTCTCTGCGTTAAGGGCAACAAATGCTAGCTAGTAAAAAAAATCACTTCTCCTTGAATGGAACAATTCTTCCTAAGTGTAAAAGGACATAGAGCCATTCAACAAGTATTGGAAATGAGGCTTTTACTTTTAGCTTTCAGGATCCTTTGATGCAGAGGACTAGTCTTCATCAGGCCTGTCTGAGAACCATTCTTCTGAGCGCGCCCCAGTCCCCAGAAAGTGTTTGGAGTGATTTGAGCCCTGGTTTTCTCTGGGCTCCTCTTATCTTCGGGTGCACAGTGATTACAGCTTCTGTAAACGCTGTTCATTTGGTGCTCTTGAGATGGCTGAGTGCACTTTGGGTCTTTGGAAAAGATCAAGTGCATTACTAAATAAACTTCGTCATGAGAAGCAGTTGTGGTACTTTTCTTGGTAAAAGGGAGCATAATTTTACTTCATGGTTTCGTGTATTTTTTAATGGTGTGAAAGGCTTTCCTCTATTATTGAAGTCCAGATAGGAGGGAGGCAGGTTAAATGTTTCCCTGGAGTCTGTGGACAAAGCCTGGGGCTTTTTTGTGGGTCACCCTGCTGGGGTGGGGTGTTAGTGCATTGTTCCACATGGCAGACTCACAGGGACCAGTTCCGTGGTGTTGACAGCTGCTGCTGCTGAGTGGCCCTGGCCATGGGAAGGACCTTGCACTGAAAACTGAATCACACGTGGCTTAATTTGAATTTCTTCAGGGGGAAATGCTGAAGGAAATCGTACTTTTTAAACAAGTCCCCAAATGCTAGAAAGTGTCTGGGAATTTACTTGATAATCACCCAGTTTTCTATTGAAGGTCCCCAAAAGTGGTGCTGGCAGAGTGGCTCAGGTGGTAGAGCACCTGCTTAGCAAGTATGAGGCCCTGAGTTCAAACCCCAGAGTTGCCAATGAAAAGTCCCCAAAAGTGGCTTCCAAAAATGGCAGAAGAACCTTTAAAACTTTCTGGTTATTATTTAGCCAAGCTAACTAGAAAGTGACTACTAACGACTGTATCATGGGTGAACAGGTTAAGTTTATCACATGTGTCCACGCAGTGCGAGCATGGCAAGGTAGTTTCTGAACTGCAGTCTGTGCACAGCTCACAGGCAGTGTTTGGTGTGTTTTAGACTGACAGTGTGTGTCATCTTTCCTGTGAATATTTTCCCTGATACGGTTCAGTACTCAGAAATTAGGAAATTATGGCTAAACCACTGGCTGACATCCTCCTAAAGAGACAGCCACGGGGTTGCCAGCTTTGGATTTTTCCCGCTTTTTGGCTTTCCTATTATCAGAGAAGGAAAGGATAGGGAGGGAGATGGAGAAGGAAAAATTGGAATTATGAAGACAGGAAAGGCCTTAAGTATTGAATGCTTTGTGGTGTTTAGAAGGGTGTTGGTAACTTTCTGACTTATTCCATCTTGATTGTCATCAGACGGGTGTCCCCAAGGTAGGGGTCTTCCCTGGGAGCATTTTGTTCAGTTTTGCATGAGCCTGTTTTTGAGTAGAACATTGAAAATGTGAATAACAGATGGAAGACATCACTTAGGAAAGATGGTTGAAGGATCAGAAATGGTTTTGAATATAAAGTAAGGGATGGGATTTGTGATAAAATCATCTTCTGAATGAGAAAGCAAATCCCAAAAAGCTTTGGTTGGCCATTCAGCTAGACTTTGGAAGCTTACGAGGGCTCCCGAGCATTCTTCCTAAGTGTTCTTCCTAGGGTTTTGTTTGTGTCTTTTTATTTTTCGTTAAGTCATTCTGATAGGTGAATGGTTTGCTTTTTTTCCCCCTAAAAAATGGTCTTACCTGTGGCAAAATTTAAAAAGAAAGGATTATCTTGTTTTTTCACTAAATACAAAAGGAGGAGGCCTCGGGCATAGTGAAGAGGACCACTTTAGGAAGCAGGTGGTGCATTTGAGGTCTAGGTAGGTCACATACTGTAAGACCCTAAGCATTAAAATGATGTCATCTGTGGGTCTCTGTGCCCCTGGCCACCACGGCCCCAACATTCCGAAAGCCCCAGAAGATAACTCATCTCAGGTCTAAGTGCTCAGTAGGAAAGCAGTAATCAAACTTTGTTCTGACTTTTATCACATGCTTTCCCCCTGCATTGCTGTTTGTCACAGCCGTATTCCCTTTATGGGTGTGTAAACCCATAGAAGGAAGGTGTGTGGAACAGAAGTGAGAGTTTTTTTAGTATAAAAGTAGCATAGTTTTACATTCAATGGGAATTAATTGCGCAGAGGGATTATTCCTAACACGCCTCCTAACCAGGAGGCACACAATTCATTATACCTGATCACAGTGTAACCTTTTATACTTTAATAGTTGATACTTGTGCATTGTGGCTGGTGACAACTCTTCTTGTGGCAAGAGATGTCTGCGTCCACGTTGTTAGGCGAAGATTCAGGTCATTAAGAGTAAAGTCAGGTAACCTGCACACCTGGTTTCTCCCCTTGTGGTTCCTGCAGTCACCAAGACCCCTAACATTTTCATGCTCGGTAAGGGGTGGTTATGACTGCACTTGTGCAGGCCCAGACTCCAAAGCCTAATTAGGAGACAGTGCTCAGGAAACCTGGCTGCATGGGGGTCCCCAGACCCCCTTCTATTTGTTTATTGGATGGTGTTAAATCTGACATGAAGATACAAATTTATGCCAGGTGCCAGTGGCTCACGCCTGAAATCCTAACTACACAGGAGGCAGAGATCAGGACGATCAAGGTTCAAAGCCAGCCTGGGCAAATAGTTCACAGACGATCTTGAAACCCTTCACACACACAAAAAAAAGGGCTGGTGGAATGGCTCATGGTGCAGGCCCTGAGTTCAAACCCCAGTACTACAAAAAAATAAATAATATGAATTTTTTCCCGTGGAGATGACAGCATAAGATGAATACTTGTCCTTTTTTTTTTTTTTGGTGATACTAGAGTTTGAATTCAGGGCTTCGAGCTTGCTAGGCCAGCACTGTACCACTTGAAGCATGCCTCCACCCTAGGCCTAATCCTGTTCTTTTTATTTTAGGAACTAAATTATTATTTAATGATAATATTGATTATTGTTAAATAATGTTTAATTTAGGAACTAAATATTATGGAATAGTCTTATGTAATTGTCATAGGTGTTGTTTATATAATGTATTCATCAAATAGAATTTCATAAAAATGTTTAGGTCTATGAATATACTTTTATAGTATTTTGGTTTTTGTTTGTGTATTTGTGTGTGCCTGCATGGGAGGAGGAGGGGCACTGGGAATGGAACCCAGGGCCCTGCTCACATAAACAGGTGCTCTGCCTCTGAGCTATGGCCCCATTCCAGTATTTCGATCCTTTAAAATACGTGTCCTGATGTATATTTTACTTCCAGAATTAAAGAACTGTTCTGAGGTTTGAAATTTGGGGATCAACGCTCTCCTTCATTTTTACATTTCCATTTCTTTACTTTAGAGTAATTGCTTACCAAACATTACCAAGAAATATGCCAAGCCACAGAGCCCAGATGGTGGCCCGCTACCCTGAAGGTTACAGAACACTCCCGAGAAACAGCAAGACCAGGCCTGAAAGCATCTGTGGGGCCAACCCTTCCAGCCACGACAAGACGGGGGGGCCCGGGCCGGAGGAGAAGCGGCGGTCCATGAGAGATGACACCATGTGGCAGCTGTACGAGTGGCAGCAGCGCCAGTTCTACAACAAACAGAGCACGCTCCCTCGACACAGCCCCAAGGCCATGGTTAACGTGTCTGAGCAGACGATGTACCCTATACCTACATCCCCGTCCCATGGGTCCATGGCTGCCTTCCAGGGATTCTCCCCTCAGCGAACATACAGACCAGAAGTATCCTCGCCAATTCAGAGAGGGGATGTGACCATAGACCGCAGGCACAGGGTGCCCCAGCCTAAGGTAAGCCATGTCTGCTCGTTTGTTCAACTCGCTACTTGATAGAGGTCACGTTTCCTTTCCAAAATGGTGAGAGGCAGGAGGTGGAAGTGAAGAGGAGGTGGAAGGCAGGAGGTGGAAGAGGAAGTGAAGCAAGCCTTTTTTTTTT